ATCAGTTTAATGCATCATTCTACTAAAAATAGAAAACTATGCCAAAATTTCAATTTCTCTAAATTCTTTTTTCCTCAATATTTAATGAACAAATCTATGAGTGAACTGATTAGCTGTAAACTTTTATAGTTTCATTTAAGTATTAACTTTTGACAAGACTTTATGTCAATTTTTAACGAATAGCACGGCAGAAGTCACTGTGACGGCGTTTTTTCCATTAGTAAAACGATGCATTACCACCGATTTAAAAGAAAAATCAATAAAGAATCAATTATATCACGTGACACAATCTTAAAAACTAGAATTATTAATCGAGATCTGCTATATTTCTCACATGTAAATATAGATATGCAGAAAAACTTTTAGAGTAAACCGAAACGTCAAAATATTCGTATTTTCCGATTTTTGTTCCCCACGTTGCATGATAAATGTTTTTGTTGTCTAATTTCTTTAGTTTCTAAAAATTTATCTGGATCAGATATATTCACACAACTTCTAACTCTACATCTGATTCTATTATATTTCCCTAAACGTAGTTTTATTATGTTAAGCTTTACTATTCTGATTTCTAAAGATAGTTCTTAAAAATTCCCTAATATTGACTACAAAGCACAGTCAGTTTTTAACTGTTAAGAATAAAATTTTATATTTTTATTTCCGATTAATATTAGTTGACCGAATAAAAATTCTCAGCTCTAAACTAAGAAATAAATATATAAAATTTTTATTAGATTAATTTGAGCCTACAAGAAATTAAAGAAATGTGCAAACTTGATATTTGTATTATTTATCAAAATATTTTGATATGATCTTTTTTTTTCTCTTAATATATTTATAGAAATAATAACGTTGGGGTTCCCTACTAAAATTTAACTACATTTTATTTTTTGGTAAGAATAAATATTTATACAGAGTAATCCAAAAGTTTAAAATAAGTTTTTATTTTTAATTTTTCCTTTCCTTGTAATTTAAATTTATTAGATTATTCATCATTCTCATTTCATATACCGGGTGTCCTAATGTTCCGTGGACATAGAACTACTACGTATTTTTGGAATCAAACTAAGTTCGTTGGACATAATTTACCTCTATACAAAAGTGCTTCGTTTGTCCGTTAGAGGGCATCAAACTTTAAGAGCCGTTATTCCGATTTGAATGAGATTTTGAGTGTCTAAATTTTGCTAAGTGCTTTAAAATTTGGTATTCACAAAAACTAAGAAATAGTACCGGAAGGGTGAAAACTACCCCTACCACTACATAAATTTTAGTATAAATATTTTCCAACTCACCCGACGACCGGTTTTTTTTTTCGTAAAACAAGTTATTGTTGATTCATACGTAACTTGATTCAAAACCTACGTAGTTGTTCTCTATGTCCACAGAATATTCGAACTCCCTGTATATTTTGTAGGTCTCTACTTTGGAAAAATAAATTCTCCAATTTTTTTTCTCAAAAACTATGTGATGTGACGTTTTTTTACAAGAGACAAAAATTTAGAAAATATAGAGGAACCATTTTACGAAAAGAAAATCTTTCGTCGGTGGAGTTAGAAAATATTTATACTAAAATTTATATAGGGGTGGGGGTAGTTTTCACCTGGTTTTCACCCTTCTCGTACTTTTTCTTGATTTTTGTAAAAGTCAAATGTTAAAGCACTTAGCAAAACATAGACACCCAAAATCTCATTCAAATCGGACTCTTAAAATATCTGAAAAAATGTGTTTATTTTTGGTACCCTCTTTAAGTTTGGTACCCTCTAGCGGACAAACGAAGCATTTTTGTATAGAGGTAAATAGTGTCCAATGAACTTACTTTGATTCCAAAAATACTTAGTAGTTATATGTCCACGGAATATCGGGACACATGAGAGAACATGATTGCTATTAATTAATTGCAGGTATTTAATAAAAATAATTTAAGAATATGTTAACTCCGTAATTTTCGAAACCGAAAAATAGTTTATAAAATATATTTAATACAACAGAGCCTTTGGATCACTCTGTATAGGAGCCGTAAAAATCGTGTTTTTAATAGTTTTCTCTAAAACACCAACTCTTAAAACAAAGTTGTTTTCAATAATAAGTACTATACATATAATTTGTACCTTAATATTTACAGATTTTAACCGTTCCTTCCATGCTCCTGATAAAACTAACATAAAAATAATTTGGCACTAATAACAACAGAACATATTTTTGTCGCGAGAAAACTATTAAAACGTCGAGAGTATAACATTGTTTATACAGATGCAGATCACTCTACAAAGTCTGCAATTTGATAGTAAATAATCTATATACTTCATCTGTCATCATACAAGGATCAAAAAATTCAATAATCAAGCGAGCTTTGAATTAGAAATCGTTTTTCTCTCATGATACCATGCAGGCTTGATCATAAAACTTCTTGATCAAATTGTATTTCTTTGAATATAATATTATATAATCAAAACGCCCATTGAACAAATAAATACTTATAATGTCTATACTTTTAGTTTCAATCTGTACTGATTTGGCAAAATTGGGGAAAAATACTTTAATAAAAAAATGGTAGTATATCTTACATGTTCAATAATACTAAAAAAGGGGATGAAAAGACAAAATTTGTGTCGTGACAAAAAAAAAGGTTTTCTTCGTCGTTATTGATTTTTGTTGTGCGTTTTGGTCGATTTGTTAATAGATAACTACATAAAGCAATCAAATATATTATTATAAAAATATATCACTAATAAAAATATACTTCAAACAACTGAACATAAAAATAACAGAAACCACATTAAAATATAAATATGTACAAAAAAATATATATGTATAAAATATTAACAAATATTTTTTGTCATGTAAAATCGTAAGGAAGAGTACTTATATATTTATATAGTACTATTTAATATTTCTCGGCGAAATATTTTCTCTAATAGTGTCGTGTTTATGTCAGTTAATAAATAATGTTTTAAATATATTTATTTGCTTTTTATGATTAATTAACAGTATTTTTAATTACCATAAGGACCTAAAACAATAAATAAAAAAAATTAAAAAATTTTTGAACCAACACATCTAAAATAACTGTAATCGTTAGAAATACTATTTTCAATAATAATTGTTCGAAAAAAAATAATTAAAAAAGATCAAAAACGTTTCTGTGTATTAAAATTGCTAAACAAAGTTTTATGTCAATATGGCAATAAATTACTGTATTTTATTGCACACAAGTACTATATGATCATAAATAAATTTGACATAATAAAATTGCAATTTTGAATATGTATTGCTTAAATATTCATCAAAAATTTTATAAAAAGAAATAGACTATTGTTTGTCTATTTCTTTTTATAAAATGTAGTTGGGCAATATCAAATCAAAATTACAATTTTTGTCTGAATTAATCATATTTATCAATAATCATACTGTAATATTTTCTTTTTCGTCTTCAAAATTACATTATCAGATTAATTACACAAAAGAAAACAGGAAATTGAAACACAAAAAAACCTATACAAATTAATTAAAAATGGGCAAAGAAAAAAATAATCTGTTCATATTTAAAACAGAGATCTAAAACCAAAATATTATAGATAAAATGTATCACTGTCCTTTATTTATTTAATATCTTTAAATATATCTTTTTCTTTAACTATCATTTCATTCTTTAAAAAAAATTTTTTTTATTAAATTTTGCAAGTACTTCCAAAAAGTTTGCATCAAACCATTTTTTTATTATTGAGATATTGAAAACTGGAGTAATTATTGGAAAAACTGGAAATCGTCCGATTTGCACAAAAATTGGTATACACCCTATTTTGACGTTGTAGATTACAAATCTGATTTTTTTTCTGGAGGTATCTTACCGTTTTCAGAAAAACAAAAAATTATTTCAACATTAAATCTTTTTTAATTTCTCACATTTTTAAGGTTTTTTAGCGCATATTTTGTTAGGTATTCAATAATCAATCAGGTTTTTGCTATTTTCTGTTACTTTTTTAACCCATTCTATGCATAATAGAGGAAAATTCGTTAAAATAAATTTGTAAACAACCTGAAAATGTTGGGTTATGTGTTTCTGACATTTAAAGCAACGTTGCCAATGCTAAACCTAAATTTAGCGCGTTTTATCTTGTATTTTTTCGGGTGATTAGGGATTTTAAATAAATTACAACCTATTAATGAGATCTGACAATAGTTATACAACTACAAATATATAACCATAAAGTTGCACGAAAGAGTTTTGTTTGCATTTGTATTATTGTCAGATTGTTTTTTTTAATTTTTGTCTCTCTTATTGCATAGGAGAGAGAAAGGAGGATATATGAAATGTGAAACTTCCATCTGGTCTCAATTTTCTTTGTTATTTTGTTAAGAAAAGTGTTTTTCGGTAAAATTTTGGACTATTTTTCTATCCTATAAAAGGTGTATCCAATCAAGTGTGGCTTTTAGATTAACTATAATATAATGAAAATATAGTGAAATTACTTTATAAGGTTGAAATAAAGAAAAATTCAATGTTGAAATTATTTTTATCAAAAATTATCAACAAAAAAAGTTGTTCAGAATTAAATGTTATACTAGTGAAAAAGTGCCAATTTTCCTAAATATTCAAGACGCTTAAAACACGTACTAGGCCTGCAGTGGTATTCTGTAAGCTCCGTAGCAAGAAATTTCTTGCCTAGCCTATGTTATTTTTATACGACTTGTGAATCGCTAGAAAGAAAATATTTATACAGAATCGCACTGACAATGCTGATGCTGGTAACTTCATAGCGTGGTCTGTATTTTAATGCATGAGACAGAGAAGAATATAAATGAAAGGTTGACAGACAGAGAGACAAAATAAAAAGTGGCATACAGTGTTGCCGATCTTTACGTTTGTAGGAAAATGTATGTAGAAAAAAATAAACTATTAAAAACTTTCATGTATACTACTGAAATGAAGATAATAAATTTAAGCTAAATTTAATCTATTACAACTGTAGTAAAATGAGAAAAAACTACTTGTGAAAAATAAAGTTCCAACCCTAGATGCAACATTTTTCGTAAACGCCTACTTGTGCGGTTTAAAATTTTGATCCAAAATCCGGCATTTATATTCAGAAAATTGGCATTTATATTTTTACGGTTCATTACTAGACCGTACAGAAAAATGATATGAAGTATCTGTATATTATGACATTTAGTATACCGGGTGTTTTTCAAAAGTGGCTCACCCCTATAACTTTAATATATTTTCAAATATTTAGGGATGTGACCGTGGTCGTATTGAAATGCGGCGCGTGTTCTAACAACGTTTTTATTTAACATTAATATAAATAGGACTGAAATTTAACAGAAACGAATGAGCACATCTGACTAGCTGGCGGCCCTCTTCACTGACTAACTGAGACTGACTTCGTTGACGGATGACAACGCGGACTGTCACTCGGTTCTTCTTTTCTCTGTGGACCTGGCCTTCATGACCAGCAAGAGAAAACTTCTCGAGGCAGGAGTACCTGTTTGCGCCGTCGAACCTCCGGGCCTGATACCGTTGGAGGCGGCAATGGCGTAGGCGCCACAGATAGAAAAAAGAGATTTGTTATGTTAGTAATATGCCATAAATGAATTATTGTGTTCCCTGACTCCCCACGCCCATTTTAACAAATCTCTTTAAAAAAAGTTATATGAGAGCCACTTTTGAAAAACACCCGGTATAGACATAAAATCAAATCCTGAGCAATATTTCTCTTTGGCTTTTTTCAATAATATTTTCTCACCTTATTATTGCAAACTTTTTGACACAAACCATATAATATATTTTGATTGGTACACTTTCTTGGACAGTGTTTACAAATTATCTTTGATCTAAAACAATTAATTTCTGTTTCAAATACTTTCTTTGATACAATCACATTTTCTTCTGTGGATCATCTAAAATCCACTGTACGAAATACTTCCCAACAATACGCGGTTGCCTATTAGAAATCGAGAGGAAATCCGGCATCCGCGCCGAAGGAATTCAACAGCTCCTGGTCTGTAAAGGCGGCGGTATCGCCGGTGGCCGAAAGATTGTCTAGGAATTCAAAATTGAAATCCGTCGTTTGCGGATTGAACGAGGCCAGGGCGTTAGTCGCGCTGTTGGAATTGTTCGAAGTATTCGTGAGCATGTTGCCGTTGGAGGGCTGTTGTTGCTGTTGCATCGATTGGCCGCTGATGGAAATGGACTGTGACTGTTGCATGTGGATGTTGGACATTGACATCTGAAAATGAGGTTCATAAAAATGTATTAATAGACGAAAGTACATTTGGTTAGTAATAATATACAGGGTATCCCATTAAAAAAATCATAACTAAGTTCGCGCTACAAAACAAAGCAGAATCGGACCTATGTTGATATGAAAAATAAATCTTATTTTTACGCGAACAATCTCCCCACGGGAGATGGCACCTCTTTTTTGAAGTTTGAACATTTCCTCGAAACTGTCTAGCCAAGAAAAGTTGAACCAATAATCCTACATGCTTTTCTTCATTTGAAAAATTCATGGCCAACTATGGTTTCTATTTAAAAAAACATATGTTCGTGTCATATGTCAAAAATGACAGGCTTTAGAAAAAATCAGAGAATACAAACTCATTAGGGATGTGGTTATCTACAATTTTTATCTGAAAACTTTTTGTCTAAAATAGATTAGTAGATAGTAAGTAAGAATAGATAGTAAGCAAGCAATAATTAGTAGTTAGTAAATTGTATTTGTCTGATAATGCTCGTATGAGCGAAACACGTGTCACTGTTTAATTTAATATAACGTTGAGACCGAGACTTTGAGTCTTTTTTATAGTTCTTTTTAAATTAAAATAGATTATAATAGAATTAGGGACAATTTTTAAAATTGCCAAAATTTGTTTTTTTTTCAAAATATCTAGTAAGCCATGAACTTTTTCAAAAATCTGAAAGGCACATATTTATGACCCCACAAAACTGCAATTCTTTCCCCATTTAACCGACTCTCTATCTCCAGTAGTTTCCGAGATACCCATAGATAACATCGTAGGAAACTCACCCTGTATGAAAAAAACATTCTGATGATGTTTTACAAAAGTACGAATAAACTAGATGATCTAGATTATAGACACATATTTCCAACCTAAATCTTCAATTACCTGTGAATTCTGCTGCTGTTGTTGCTGCTGCTGCATCAGCGTCTGCTGTTGTTGCATGTGCAGCATCGCCTGATTCATCGAATTCATCTGGGCCATGGGACCGCCCTGGCCTCCTATCACATGACCCATACCTCCCTGGCCGCCTCCCATACTCGCCTGTTGGGCGCGCATCTGTTGCTGTTGGTGCTGGAGCGCCGTCATCTGTTGCAACGAACCTCCTCCCATATTCATATTAAATCCACCTAAAACAGAATAAAATTTACATGAAATTATTGTGGTTTTAAATCACAATTCCAATTTAGGGTTTGAAAAAACTTTTTTCTTTTTGTTATTATGTTTTTTATGTTATTATGCTTTAAATCAGTTTTAATTGTTTTAAACACGGTTATACAAACTCCAAACTCAAGATTATATTTAAAACTTGTTTATAATTGTATCTAATCTTAGTGCAGCTCTTGCTTGTAGGGGGCGCCACCTACATGTCTCTACAAAATTACATTTTTGAGTAATATCAATGATTCCTTTGTCATTTATAGGTCAAAAAGGGGGGTATACTTGTTAACGTTTGATATGGACAACCATTCGAGATGAATTATAACAATATGGTATATAGTTTTTATTAAGAAGATTAGAAACATTAAAGTTTTAAAACCCTGTCAAAGTTTACAGAATTGTGTAAACTTTGACTGAAAAATATCTTGTATCTCAAAAACGAACGCCTTGCAGACATATTTAGATATAATACATACTTTGATGTTTGTTAAAATTGTTGTTTTAATTATCTGCTGATGATTCTATCATGGTTAGCGAAACGCGCGTCCAGTGTCTAAAAGTAAAGTGTTGTAGAGTATTGCAAGTAGTTAGTGTTTTCTCATCAGTTCTGTTATCAGAGTTGGGTACTTTTTTATTATAATCAGTTAAGCAATTTTTTTAGGCAGATAGTAGGTTGAAGTGATTACATTTTTCCTTCCATATTAGAGTTAGATATAAGAGTAATTTATTTTTATACACTTGTTTTTAATCAAAATGAGTAAAACGACACCCCTCTTCAGCTTAGATGTTATGACGCGTCTGCTTTTCTGAACATAATTATAGTTAATTCTTTATACAATGAAATACAAAGCTTGTGCTAAATAATCAAGTTTTGGTATATTTTCACAGAATATACTAACGAAAAAGAAGCCCAAGTTCCTTGTAATAAATCGGTTCCATTTTCGTAACGCCATCTCTCGACATAGCTGACATTATAGGTTAGCAAAAGGGGTGCGGGGCCGGGGGGAATTGTAAAATACACTTTTTTATTTTAATTATTTTTATTCGCTATTTGCAATTTTATTTTAAAACATATTATGTGAAACAATCACATAATATGTCTTAAAAATAAAATTACAAACGGAAACAAAAGGAATTAAATAATCTGAAGTTTACTGATAAAAAAGATAGGCTATGCAAATTCATAAGTATATTAAGTATAACCTCTTTGGTATAACATTGTTAAACAAACATTAACAAATCATAACATATCAGATCATAGAACTAAAAAAGTACTATTACATAAAAACAGGTGATACAATACTTCAAAATTAATTTTAACATAATATCAAAACCGAGAAATCAAACTGCAAACACAACCACACTTATCACAACAGAAATTAACACACACTTCCGCGGCAAATGTCCAAGAAAGACTGATCATTCTGATTGGTCCTGGTCCGGTCGTAGCTCAAGTCGTATTGTCGGTAAGCAAAATCCCTGTCCAAAAATTTTGACGATCAGCGCCATCATCCGTCATAATTGGGAAACTTTTGCTGGAACCATTTTTAATATTTCACTTACATGGCCCTGGTATATTTTAAAACCCCAAGAGAGTAGAATATCATTAGATATTTTAATTACATACGTTATTTATACGGTAAAACGGTAATCTCTAACTCTAAAAAACCCATTTAGCTGAGGCTCACTGCAATGCAATCAATGGAATTGATATATCTGACAAGAGAACATATTCCCGACAAGGTTGAGAATGTTCAGCACCTAAATCTGCATAACACAGTTGGCATATTACACTTCTAAGCACAAAAGTATATATGATTAAGGAATATAATTTCAGCAGTTTTACTAGGATTATTTTTGAAATGTACAACACATACCTTGTTGGAAGGATGGCCTCATTGCACCAAAGTTCGCATTCTGCTGTTGGGACATCAACAACTGGCGCCATTCTGCCGAATTATTCTGCTGAATGGTTTCCATACCACCCATCGGACCAGGCTGGCGATTAAACATAGAACGTCCTGCCATTTGCTGCTGTTGCTGTTGTTGCAACATATACACGTTGGAACGTATCATTGGACCTAAAAAAAATATATCAAAATAATAACTTGGTATTACAAATGTGTAATATTAATTTACCACAATTCATGAAAAGAATTATGTAAACTATGAAGGCACGTTTCGTTTTAATCTCACCCTATTCATCAGAGACAGTCGACTTGACTAGTTTTTGAGTATTCGCGCTTCAACTGTTGTGTTTGTGCTCATACACATGCAGGCAAGCAGTCAGAACACCAGTCTCAATAGTTTTTATAAACGAATCATAATGGAACTCAGAATGCGACTTGTTACTCTTATTGAATGTAATACCACAAGATGTTTCGGGATTACCGAATAAAGGTACATTCAGGTTGAGAGCGTCGCGTCGCGTCCGCCCCATTGAACTCGAACCCCGACGCTCAGCGGACGCTAGTGCAACGCCAAACGCGACGCTGTCTGCCTGAACGGTCTAATTGAAGTTAAGTGAATTGATTCCATTTCGACACGCGGACGCGACGCAAACGCGACGCGACGCTCTCAGCCTGAATGTACCTTAATACTTTTACCTGACACGAAATGCGTTACCCGGCAACACTACAACTCCGAAGGAGGAGTAGTGTTGCTGGTATCAAAGTATTAGGTAATCCCGAAACATCGAGTTGTATTCAATAGATTATACAACGAAATAAAGTACATATATCCTTATCTTTCTTTTGCCAACTGACAGAAATGACTTCTGAATTAATATTTCAAAAAATAACAATTATTACAACATGGCCACCAAGCGATAATCGCTTAAATGATTATCACTTACTTATTAATCACATCCTTCTATATAGGAAAAATATACATAGAGTTGTATAATCTAGATTAGTACGCAGAGTTCCATGTAAATTATCTAAGTCTACTGGTTGTCTAATGAATAGATGACTGTAGTTTTAATCATGGTATGAATAAATGACTAAAAATATAGTTGATTGGATCTGCATTAATAAATAACTTCAAATATTTAAATATTTGCTTTCCTATATTGTGGTGAATTGATAGATATGTTCCAAAGCGTCGAAAAACCGTAACCGAATGATTACGCCCATGCGCAGTGATTGAAATGCGTGATAACCGATAAAGATGATCGATGGGATGGTTCTGTATAGGTTCCAACCTAACTTGTGACGGTTTCGTTACGGTAATTTCGATACATGCCTTGAATTGAGAACTGTTTAGGGTTGACCGGCGCGGCGCACTAAGCATTTCAGTCTCAGACAAAATAAAAATTAAACCCATTTTATTCCCGGCTGTTTGGCGTGGTTTAATCTCTTTATAAAATATATTCCTATTTGAAAATGAGTATAACATAGAAAATAGCATTAACGATATTTCAGAATCTTTTATTTTTTCAGCCATTTTTTAAACAATTAAACAAAACACATAAAAAATAAAATCGGTGGTTAAAGATTAATAATTCCTTAAAATGACAATCGTCTTCTTACTCTTGTTTCTCGATGATCAAACGTCTTTCGAAGGCCAGTCAAAAATCTAAATATCCTTTACTTATTACAATCAAATATCATCATCATTAATTCTTCTCAGAAAAACGATACACAAACCGTTCCAACTAGAGTAATTATTTTTAACATCCCATGCTTACAAACCGCAACTTTATAATTTAAAAACGATTTATTCATAACGATACCAGGATTGCTTGTTGGAACACAGCTAATTTTAACTTTTTTTTATACTCTATATATTTTAAAAAAGTTTATACTAACCTGATGGAGGTATCGGTTGGTGTGGCATCCTGCGCATATTAGGTGGGGGAGCTGGTGCGCCGTATCGCGGTTGCATACCCTGTCCCAAGCCTGCGCTAGTTTTGTAATCCGGCGGCGGAGGTCGCAGCTGTTGCTGTTGTTGCTGCTGCATCGCCTGCGCTCGCAACATCTGTTGCAGTTTCTGCTGTTCTAGTGTTTGCGCGGACATTAGACGCGGACCCAGAGGCCCAGTCGACGCGCCCATTGGTCCGGCTGAAGGACCGCCCATTGGTGTACCCATACCTGTTTAAAAACAATGAAAAAATGTAGAAATAATTGTTACCTCTAGGGACTTTAATATATAACTATTCAGTAGCTATATAAATTTCAAACACGTATTTATGGACAGAAAATTACATATAAAGAAAGCAATTTGGCGTGGACGTCATGAAACAATTACCATATTAAACTTCTAAAAAATAAAAATTCGTTTGAAACTTAGAGAGCACTTTTTACATTTTTTTAAAATCTTATCCTAGCTAAAAAAGACAGCATGCAAAAGACATGTCGCATCAAGTAAACGAATTGGCTGATAAAACATGTGAAGCATTTATTACATGACCACTTAATCAGACGTAGATTTCTTTCGCTTGGAAAAATACTTGCTCTTCTTTTTTTATTATTTATCACGAAAATCGACATCCAAGGCCAGAAATGCCCAATCCGGTATGTATTTTCAATAAAACCCTCAAAATTTAAGCAACAATAGCAATTTTTACCTGTCTAACGCAATTTAACCACACACGGAGCCCATCTTGATTTCTTTTCTGTTTGTAATAATTGAGTAAAGTCACTGATTCTGACTGAGTGGTTTTGGAATTTTATTGCAGTTAAAATCGCAGTTTTAACTAAGCAAATCGCAGATTTAATTTCAAATTTGAAACTAAGAAAACAATATTAAAAAATAAAATTAAAATTCCTAATTGGCCAAGATTTACCATGGCTACCAACATAAAGCTCTCCAAAAAATCCTTTATGGGTATTTCGCTACTGCACTGCAAGAAAATACTGCTTGTCAGAAGTTATGTTTACAATTATACAAATTTGCCTAACAAAGAAAAAAATGCTTAACGTTTCGGAAAGTTTATCTCTTTCCGTCGTCGGAAGCAAAAAAAATACAAAGAATAAAAAAAAAACTATTTAAAATATTAAAATTCAACTATTCGAGAACACTTTACTTTTTTAAAACAGATACTTCTACAAGAAACCGTTGACGTTCTGTTAAAATTAGCGATGGGAACTATCGAATGAATTAGACTATCGAATGGTTACTGAATGAATGATTTCAACTATCGAATGGTTTTATTCGAATAAAATCATTCATTCATTTGTATACTAAAGCATACGTGACAACCTCGCTGTACCACTAAATGGTTATCGTTGAGCCACGACTATTGAATGCTTTTGATAAATGAAATTTAGTATCCGTTTGATTTTTGTGTGCGTCAGTGCATTATTAGTTCTTCCAAATTTTTATAACTTCGCCGTATAAATACTGTGCTATTTTTGCGTTTATTAAAATATTTAAAATACTAAAATAGTAGTTTTTTTAATTGACGATTGTGTGCGTGTGCAGGTGGTCAAAATTTTTCCGAAAGTTTGTGTGATTTTCCGTAGCCCGATCTTTCAATTATTTAATTTTATATGGTATATGGTCTATTTTTTAATGGGAAATTTTGAGAAGTAGCAATTTTTAAGAGAGATGAGATGAACTTACAATTAATTTTAAAAATACATATTTGTATTTTAGATGTTTTAATAATATGAATTAGTTGAACTTAATAATTATATTAATTAATGTGGTTAAGTAAATGGTTATCGAACTCAGACTATGGGGTGAGAAAATTAAATTAAAAGTTTTACACGTGCCAATTTAAAAAAAAGTTAACGATGTTTGTATTTTGTTTATGCTAATTCTCTTACATGTAGTTTTTTGCGAAGAAATATTTCATTTATTTTTTAGTAAGTAAATACCAGTAAAAGTAAATATTATTATTATTAAATAGTAATATAAAGTACCGAATATAAATAATTTTGATTTCTAATTTTTATTTATATTTTCCTTGCATTACACTGCACGCTTAGAAAATTAATAAATGTTTATATTTCATGATTTTAAAATTTGTTGTTAATATAACAAATTAGTTCTGTAATTATTATTATTTAATAAACCAACGTTGCCACAAAAAATTGAGAGACTATATTATTTTTAAATAGGATCTAATATAAATAATTTTGACATCAAATTTGTTGTTTATATTTTGCTACTACTTAAAAAAAATGTTTATATTAAATGATTTCAAATTTTGTTGTTAATAGGTATAACAAATTATTACTGTTATTATTATTTATTAAACCAGTCTTTGCTTAAAAACATTAAAAATAATTTTCCTACATCCAAAATAACAAGTATTATTGTAGTGTAACAACAGAATATTAATAAAAAAAATGCAAAATATATAGACATACTATCCCTAACTAACTAAAGCCAGACAATAATATTCTTTGCTAATATCAACTAATACTAATATATGGCAACAGCGCCCTTCATAATGTAGTTTTTGTGTAAATACTAACACCTCAATAAAAAAAATAATATGTCCTTATCTACTCCGCAAAAAATCTAAGATGCCGCCTTGTTTCATAGCATTGCCACCGACCGCTGTCGGGTTTCTCGGAAAGAAACCTACGTCGCCGGGCGACAACTAAAATCCAGTTAATATTTTATTCAAATACGTTTAAATAAAACTTTATTTTAAACGTATTTGATTTTATTATAATCGATCATGACGAATAAATGAATTTCATAAATGAATGAATTTTATAAATGAATGGTTTTTGCTGCCGAATTACTAGAATACAATATTTCAAGGCAGATGACGCGTCTATTCGATAATTTTTATTCGAATAGTTTTCAACGAATGTTTTCTTACTAGCTATCGAATTATTCGAATGAATTGCTACTATCGAATGTTTCGATAGTATTCATTCGATAGTTCCCACTACTAGTTAAAATGACATTACAATAATAAATAATAATTATAATAATAAAACTCTCTCTGCCAATTTCGATTTTATTATTTTTTTCTAATCTGACATTTTTACAAAAGCAAATTTAATAAAAATAAAAAAATAATATACAAGGTGTCCCAATTAAAAAAAAAGATAGGTTTAGGTTATATTTCGAGAACGACAGTTCCCGTGGAAATGTCTACTAGGCTCAGTTTTCACCCTTTCAATAAGTTATAAGATAACCGAGATATGAAGGGGTCGAAAAATGCAACATTTTCAATTTCGCCCCGTATTTCAGGAACTAAGAGGGCTAGGACAAATCTGTGTGTAGCATCTTTAGTTTCATAAAAAGTAGCAAAGTGATGTGAAAACCGCATCTTTGTATCACTACCCATAAGCGAGATACTCTGTAAAACTCACGAAAATGGGACACCCTATACATGTTTTGTGTCTAAAACTGGAGTGAAAAATTTATGATAAAATTACGAATTTTATTTGACACTTAGGGTAAGGAGAAAAAGCAGACGATGTCACAAAACTGATTTTTATAGAGAAAACTGATTTAATGTACCCAAATAAAATTTGGCTTCAAATAAAATTTGGCTTCAAAATAAAATTACCCAAATAAAATTTGGCTTCAAAGTTATTTGCGTTGTTATTTGGACATCGTTTGTTATATTCAGTTACAATTTAGCATGTGTTTGGGACTTGCCATTATTACTTACAAATTCCTATAAAGTAGAAATCGTTGGTTTTCCCCTTACCTTTCGATTTTAAGTGGTAAAATATTTTACCTGGTGGACCTGTCGCCCTTCTCAAAGTCTGCTGCGTAAAGTTGATGGTTTGCGTTTGCGACATCGAATACGAATCTGGATGACCGCTCAGTACATTTCCGTGGGACATATTAGGACCGCCCATCATACCACCAAGACCACCTTGCATACCGCTTTGGCCGCCCATATTTCCAGTGGGGTTTTGCATACCGCTCAAACCTTGAGGTCCGCCCATTTGTGCTCCTGCCATCTGTTGGTTCATTGGGTTCATGTTTCCGCCCATTTGCTGACTGTTGCCCTACAATTAAATACCAAATGTAATACCGAATCTTACTCATTTCTGTGTTTTCATATATGGTATTGTTGTTCGCACATTGCAACACATCTTTTTAATACAGTATATTTTGATATTACATATCCATGTTTTTAGCAAAAAAATAGTTTAGTTTTTAATAAAAATGTGTTATATTTTGATAACTTGGAAATACGATTCAAAGGAATCATAATTTTAATACCATTATCGTTTTTCTTACCTGACTCATTGGATTTTGAGAACCCATTCCTCCAGACATGGGACCCGTTTGATGTTGACTGGAAGACATAGGACTATGTTGGGCATTAGCTCCACCTGTGGGATTCTGTGAACCAGCCGAAGATGCATTGTGCTGCTGTTGCTGTTGTTGCGTGAAATGCATGCCTTGCTGTGCTGCTATTGAAACGTTGCCCTTGATATCAGCACTTAGGTGGAGTTGCTGTCCAGCAGACACCTGGAAATAGAATATTATTTTATGTTTAACTGTTTAGAATGGGATTTAAAAGAAGATAAACTATTTATTTCAATATTAAAATTAAATTTCATTTAATCATATACTAATCCCAAGTAACATTTTTCGGAGCCTAAAGTTTTATTAAAAGGTAACAGGTATTTATAAGAGGTTTATAAGGAACCTTAACATTTATACGAGTGTTTAAAGTCTTATAAGAACACTATTGGTGTTAAAAGTTTTGTAACACCTCGAAAACATACCAAAATACTTGAAGTTTTATAATATTGCATCCAAAATGTTTTCGTTACCTTATTTGTAAAACTTTTGGTATTGGTTACTTAAAGTTTTTTTTTAAAAGGGTTTTATAGCGTTCTTAAAAACCTTATTATAAAACTTTTACTCTTGGAGTTTTATAGCTTACTTCGTAAAATCCTTATAAATCCTAAGGCACCTAATAAACATTCTACAGCTACTACAAAACCTAAAGATTTTATAAAACTTATAGGCTCAGTAGCAACTCCTTTCATGTGTAGAATAGGGGGCGCTATATTTTTAAGGTTAGGTTATGTTTTATGTTCCTGTTTTGCTTTTGTAAATCAAAGATGGAAGAAGAAAGAAAAAGTTGGAAAAAATTAAATACAGTAGCAGTTTTTATAGAAAGTGCGTTAAAACCCGTAAAAATATTTTGGGAAGCACACCACCCACAACTACTAAAAATTAACAAAACTTAGACGTTCCTCAAGAAGATACATTGCCAAATACTTCGACTGAATCGACTGCCACCGATGAAGAAAGGGGTAAAGGACCTTTAGAAGAATGTATAGATATCAGGGAAATTTGGTCAAAGACGGTGTTGATTTTCCATCCTCTGTTGTTTGGACAATTTTGAAGTGCACTGAAGGGCTTTGTTTTAATTATTTTGATTAAAAAATTGTTTTGCAAAAGCCAAAACGCCCGAAACAAAAAGTGGGGTTATGGTCAATGGTCAAGTTTCTATAAATACCTTTTTGGTAACTTATAAAACTATTAAGCATCACAAAAGCACCTAAGGTTTTATTGCAAGAGCAAAATTCCCATAAGACACCTAGGGAAGTGTTATAAGAGTTTTTAAAGTGTGGATGATTACTTTAAGGCCCATATAAAACTAGAGGTTTTTAAAAGGCGAAATGGCGAACATGACGTCCTTTTATAAGGCGGCCATTTTATGTTTGTGTTGTTGTACTTACACAAAAAAGAAGAATATTGCATTTTAAGCAATATTACCGAAGCTTTAAGACGTATTTTTTCAAAAGCATGGGGTTAAGAAATGTTGCGCAGCTTATTTGCAAAAAAAAACAAATCATGAGACGTAATTTTAATTTTTTGGTTTTTACAAAATAAATTATATTTGAGTTCTAAACGGGGGCGATTTAGTTTTAAGAAGGGTAAAATGTTAATATTACTCGATAAATCTTCCGTGCCAATAAAATTTAGTCCTCATAGAATTCTAACAGAGTGTTTAAGTTGTTATGGTAATTATTATAACACGCCATTTTCATCAAAGTGAAAATCCATTGCTGTCAACTTTAAAGTACAAGAAGAATAATATTGACAAGAACTTGAAATAGAATATATTGCAAACAAACGTTGGAGAAAGAGATGAACTTATAAGGGGCGTTTTTTATTTTGATGTTAACATTTTGTTTTGATTAACAACACTATAAGGAATATAAAGGTTTTAAAGCGGTAACGCAAATGTATTCCTTGCCGCTATAAAACCTATTTATGGTTTATAAAGGTAAAGACAACATCTTAGTTACCAATAAATGGAGAGTAAAGGTCACGTTAAAGGTTTTATAAGGCACTAAAATTTGGTCACCGTTACCTTTATAAGATTCTCCAATTAAGTGCTATAGGGGTGTTATAAGGGTAACGAAAACGTTTCACGAACAATTGATAGGGTCTTAGGTTTTATTAAGTAGGTTATCGAAACGTAACCATTACCATTATAAAACAAAGAATGTTAGTTGGGATTCTAACACCGAAAAAAAAACACTAAAACTGAAAAGTAATAGTAATATTATTTTTCATCTTTGTTTCGTTTGATATTAGTCAAGGACACAGCATTTCGATTATAATGAAAGAAGTAAGAAGTAGTAAGACATTACTATGGCATCCTCTATCATCTATGTAAATATTTACTATGGTATAAAGATGCAGATTTATAAATTATGGTACCTTTGAATAAAAAGATTAAGGAAGGAGCATATCAAAAATCTTAGATCCACCGCGATGGGACTCAAATATGGCCGACTTAAATTCCGGTTTATCAATGCCATTCTAATTTTATTTAAAAAGTGTAAAACTATGATGTAGGGTAGACGTGGGGTAGACTCAATAATTTGTTGTTTTATTTTACGTTGTGAATGAATGTTGGTAGTTATTAAAATTGTTATAAAAATATATAATTCTAATAAAAATAGATAAGTTATAATAATTATTTATTAACACAAACATCCGATACGCTACTGAAGCAGGTAAGTCAAATTGACGTATTTAAATTCTTTGACATCTAATCCTTGACAAGTAATGAATAAAAGCAAAAATGCAAGAAAAACTATATAATTAGTTAATTTAAGTGAATTTCATAAATGATTGGTTTGCTACACGTATGTATAATATACAGTCACTTACCAGCGAAAAGTTATTCCATTATTTCAGTCGATTTTTTACCGAGATCTACCGCACGCTGCACAACCATTTTACAGTGTTTTTCGACAAATCGCAATAGTGTCACTGTTAATTTAAGTACTGCCACAATTTCCATTTAGATTTAATACCTTTATACAACTATCAGTAGTAGAATAAATAATAAATAACATAAAATAAGCTCAGTAAAGACTGACAAATCCACAAAATTTCAAATCAAATTCAAATGTGTCAAATGAATCGTCAATCGTCAAGGATCCCCACCCTAGGCCCTCTCTCCGTCTACCATGCATGAATACATGGATAGCATTAGACTCCTTCCTTAATCTTTTTATTCAAAGGATGGTACTGTGCCATTTTATTACTTCTATGGCAACGGCCCAGCTACTTCGATACACCGGTTTCCGAGAGATCACATTATTACCACAGAATAATTATTACTCTAAGGTTTAGACCAGGGATAGCGATGACATGCGTGTTAGTAGTTCGCCAAATCCTACAATTCGTCATAATTTATAATTCTATAAAAATATGGAAAACAAGTCTCTAAATGTAAATCATTGGTTTCATAATTTTGGTTTTTGTATTTTAAATGGCATTAAGCAAATAATTAACTTATAAAAAAAATAATAATTTTTCTATTTTTTTTAAGTCTCTACTGGTCTTTACTTTTGTGATGTGTGAGGCCACGAAAATTATGTTTTGATTTTTCAAAATTTTGACACAACGAGCTCAAAAGGTTCGCCATCACTGGTTTAGACCGTCCAAAAAATATGCTATTTTTTAAATTCGAAAGGACTTTTGAATGACAACTAAATGCATTTTGTCCATTTTTTTAAGATTTTCAACCAATGGTGGCATCGCAAGCTACATATACAGAGTTACAATATGATACCAGAAACGACGTTTTAAATACATTTTATCCCATTCGAATTAAAAATACCTTAGACTGACTATGTACTTTATATCCATTGGATGTAGACAAACAAACAGAATAAGTATGTCCTTGTGTGCTGTGCACATACTGCTGTTTGTTGGGCATTGCAAGATGAGTTTTTTTTGTACTACAACTTCTCTATTTTTTGAATAATGCTACTTAAAATAATGAATGGAACTACGACTGGGGAACCTGTAGTTGGGGATATGGACAGTGGTAGCAGAAAAATAGAGAGAAATTTCACGTCTAAAGGATAGTCAACAGCTTTTTTCAATTTTTTTCAGATATAATCAAAACTAGATTTTTCACATGTAGGTGTACTATTTTTATGATTTTAACAAGTATACTAGTTTTTCGGTAAGTTTCTTGTAAAAAGCGTGGCAGTTTTTCTTTGTTTGCCAAAATTCGAAAAAATGGATAAAATGCATCTAGAAAGTTGGTTGGCTCCTCATATATACATTTTTTTAATTTTGAAAAATAATGTTATATTCTGCATTTATATATACGACGACAGTCTAATTTCTTTCAGCTTTTAATAGAATATTCTAGTTCCTTCCTACGTTTACGCTAGAAGAAAGAAGCTGAGCTTCGACTATGACGTTCTAATTAACGCCTTGACATAGTTCCTTCAGCTAAAAGGGTCACGAGATGATAATAAAAATTCTATTTCTAGTTACCTAACCTCGCCTAATTCTATTTATTGCAATATATTATTTACCTTCGATTTTTTGATACTAAAGAGAATCATCGGAAATCATGAGGGTATCCACCGACATTAAAAATAATAAATAGAATACCGGTATGCTAAAAACAATATTCTCATAAAAAAGGTACACAAAAGTAAACTTTTTAAAAATAGATACTAGATGAAAATGATACAGGGTGGTCCGAATTGTATTCCGGAAACTTTGGCAGCATATTCTGTAGATAAAAATAAGTAAAAAAGTTCGTATAAATGTATGTCCTAAAATGCTTAGTTTCGGAAATACAGGGTGTAGAAGTTTCATTTTTATTTCGATTTTTTCCAAATAATTTCTGAAGTAACGAAAATATTTCGATGAAAATTGGTGTCTGGGAGTTTTTTGGCATGAGAAATTTGATTTTGATGTCAACAGGATTCCTATTTGTAGGGGGCGCTACCTACATGTGTTTTAAATGTTTTGAAGGGTAATAACTTTTTGTCCGTACCTGTATAAAACTACTTAGTGAAGAAATGTACATTTCCGTGATTTTCTACGTAAAAAATGTCTCTTGGTAAAAATCGCTATGAGCAACCGTTCACAAGATATTTACAATGGAAATAGTCAATACATGTCATTATTGACTAAAAATAAACATGTTGAGTATAGTAGGTATTTGACTGAAATGAGAATTC